GACGCCACATAAGCATGCAGGTCAATGGCAAACTTTAATATGTCCTTGTTTTCTTCCTGATATCTAGTGCAGCACGTTTCATGGAAACTTGATGCTATCAAACGACCGCAGAATTGTTGAACAGTTAGTCATGTAGACAAGGGACCAAGTGTCAAGTCAACTAGATTGGTGAGGCTGTCCAGCGTGGTCACAGAAGAGTGGTTTTCAATCTCTAGTCTGGTTTTCAATCTCTCGTCACTGCTCAGCGTCAACCTCTGTTCAGCATGTTGTCCGGTCTTGACACAGCTGGAAAGGACTTGCCAGCTTTGGCCGAACTTCAGCAGGCAAATGACAATTTGAAGGCCCATTGCGATTTGTGGTTGGAAGCCCTTTTGCAAATACATGTAGGTAGGTCATGTTCCAGTCTTGAGGAGGCATTCGGAAAAAGTGACATGTGCTTCTGTGCTGCTGCGTTTCTGTGGAAAATGAAATCCAACACGCAGTTAAACAAGCGTTAAATGTTTTTGCGTTTTTTTTGACTGATCTGATATGTTGGTGGTCTGGCTTCATTCCCTGGAAAGGCCTTCTTGAAAACATTTTGTGACCGTCTTCGGGAACAAAGAATTGAGCGACAAAAATTCGAGGTTCACGTGGTGACCGGAAATTTGGAATGCAGGTAAACCAAGGGTTTAGAAAGTTTAGGATGGTGTCACTTATCGAGGATTTGTGAATAAAACAGAAGAGGATATAATATGATATATATGGTATAATATAGAAACAAAAGTCAAAGATGGCGAGTTCAATCTCATATTCCAGTCCCGTTTTCTGTGACTCCCTGGATTGCATCATTGGCATGACAACAATTGTGCTACCCTTCATTTGTCAGCACACAACTGCATATTTGTGGGGTCTTTGCTTGGATGCACCCTGCATGCATTAATAATTGAACTTGGCTTGGACCATGTGGACCTTCACCGGGTACTGTACCTTTTTTGCCTTTTTGCTGTAAACTCAGTGAATCCCTCACCCACCATGGCTCACAGTTTCCCGAAGGAGAAGCTGAAAACTGTCGAAAGCCAGCTTTCAGATGCAAGTCGGGAACAGGACCCAACATGCAATGGCATGGCACGACATGGTTGCGTTTTTGGACGGTGCAGACCCATGATTCTCAAAGGAGCAGGGTTTGACCTGAAAGCCCTTTATGTGCCATTTCTATCCATTTCTATCCATGTTTCGGTTTTGATATCTTTGCCAGACTCTTCATTGCCAGCCCCTTCATCGAAAAGCGAGCAATCTACATCCATCACGGTGTCAGAGCAGGGTGGCCGTCAAGTACATTCCATACTGCGCAGGACGAGGTCAAAAGACTGCTGGAAGAATTTGCAGCGTATACACTTGCAAACGCAAAAGCTGAGGTGGGCCGAATGCAGATTCGCATGTTGTACAATTATCTCGTGAAACACAAATTCCGGTTCATAGGCCGGGTTAGCAGCGTTTTTGACTTTTCGTGCCATTGCGCATGTGTAGTCGGTGAATATGGGACAAGTCGACACTTATTGTACCTTTCATAAATTCCAAACATGGACTTGAAATGACTTGAAACAGCATCCATAATTTCAAAGTTTCCTTCAGTTCCATCATCTGTCAAATCAGTGTTGACAGTGTTGGTGCATTGTTTTCGACTGGTTCATGTATGTTGTCCCTGCAGGAGCTAGTTCGGGCTGTGCTTGATGACCTAGAAGCCCGGAGGACTTTAAAGGAACGGCCGGAGGCCGATCTAACGGCTGAGGATAATTGGACAGGGCAGATATGATTGCAATCCTGGGCCCCTTGATTGGTTTGACAACCACGCAACCGGTAGGATGGCATTCCTGTTTGCTTTTCTTCACGATAAACCTCCACAGGAATGCATCAACCAGCAACCACAGATGCTATGTCAACAGGCACCACCATATCTGTCCAAACAAATATTGTTTTTGATTTCCTGTTCATGTGTAGCAAACATGGCATGCAAAGAAACTTTGACCAAATAGGATCTTTTATATCTTTTTCATGCTTGAATATGACCTCCATTCCATTTTGAATATTTCCATGCGCTGGCTGTGAACCTTCTTCGAATGCACCTTCCTGTCGACCAGGCCGCCGCAGCATCCTCTGAGAGCTTGGCGCTCAGCATTTGTTTTACGCCAGATGCGCATGGAATCCTCTGAGGAATCCTTTGGGAGCCACTCTGCCTTGGTCATGCCAAGGCCAAGACACCACAGATGAGGGCAAAGCTGTCGAGAAGAAGAACAGGTTGGGCAGCGGGCTCAAAGTTGAGGCGAATAGCTGGATGTGTTTGTCCGGGTCACAGTGTAGTAATGATTACCACTTCTCCCGTCTCCATCTGTCAAGCTCAGCGGTTGCTGCTTCTTCCTGGTACAGCTCATGTCAAATCGAATCTGAAAAAAACATGAAAACTCATGGAGTTCCCTGAAGATATCACGACACATGTCTTTTGTACCCTGACAACATGGCATAGTTCAATTTGATTTGAAGCAATGTGTATGAACGTTTGTCACCTTTGTCACCTTTGTCACCTTTGTCACCTTTGTCACCTTTGTCACCTTTGTCACCTTTGTCACCTTTGTCACGGCCGGACGGAGCTGCACAATGCCGTGTGCAGCGGTGACAAAGACTACGTCCAGCAGCTCCTGAAAAATCACGCGTTTGTTGATGCCACGGATAGAAGTGGTCCGAAACTTAGAGCGAACAGAATTGCAAGGTGTTGTTCTTGAGAAGTGAAATTCAAAGCTTCCATGATCCAATCCAGTGACAGTTGAGAAGGGCACATCAGCACCTTTTTGTGTTATTTTCTTAGGCTTTCCGGCGGCGCTGAGGCCGGACACCACTACACTTGGCCGCCAGTGAGCTCTCGGAACCGGTCAAAATCATCGAACTACTGCTGGAGGCCAGAGCCAGGACTGAGGCTGAAGACCTCAGCGGCCCGGAGCCTCAGAGCTCTTCACATAGAATATGTGAATGTGTATGATCTGAGCCCTCGGATCCAACTGAATTCCCATTGGAGAGTAGATTCAGTCTGAGAGCTTTCAATTTCAGTATGTATATAGACACAGCCTTGTCATATTGATTTGGAAAGGTTTGAGGTCTCCTGTAAACTCGCGCAGTTCTGGCGTTTGATGTCAAACTTGCCGCTAAGGTTTCACTCCCTTGAATTTGGCTTGCGATTCGAAATGCAAGGAAGCGGTGGCTGTTCTGCAGAGCGCCGCTCCTTGACTGGCAAAATTTGACTTGTTATGTTTTTTGCAATTGCCATTGAATTTGGTCGAGTCTTGCCATGAGATGTGCAAGTAGATGTGCACCCAATCTCTATTGTGCCATTCTTTTTTTATTTTGAATTATGTTTATTCTTGCCGGACCGAACTACAGAATGCCATCCTCAAGGGTGACGAAAACTGTCTTCAGCAGCTCCTGCAGAATCGCGCGTCCGTGGATGCCACTGACAGAAGCGGCCCGAATCTTTGGAGCGTACCGAGTTGCCATGTGCTCACCATGGCGGCAATGTCTGCTTGGGTCCTGGATGTTGTCTGTCTGGTGTATGCCAAGGCCGGACAGCCCTACACTTGGCCGCCAACGAGGTCTCCGGACCAAGCAACATAATGCGGATGCTACTTGAGGCTAGGGCATCGCTCATGGCCAAAGATGTAACTGGCCTGGACCCTCAGAGTTCTCTACCAACAGGGCATAGCGATACATGAAGTTTACATGAAGTATATCAAAGTACATGAATGTGGTCGATAGCATTTTCAAAGTGCTACTGTATGTGCTGTGCTGATCATGCCCAATATCATTCATGATTTGAGGTCGAGAAGGTCGTAGGGATTCATGGTTTTGACGCATCGCCTGTGAGGTTTAACGCCCATGACATTGGCTTGCCAATCAAACTGCCAAGAAGCAGTGGCAGTTCTGCAGAGTGCCGTTTCCCGAGTGGTAAAAAACGACTTCATTTTGCAAAGGGGTCTGCGTAGTTACAGCATGAAACTTGATGTACGGATGAGAGGCCATGTCCTGGTCTAGGACGCTCAGTAGGTTTCTTGGATTCAGATAACTTGCACAGTTCTGCTGGGTACATGTGTATAAGGCGATGGCAGACCAGGCAGGGAAACTCAAAGACGAGGCGGAAGGATTCAACTGTTGGGTAAGTTTTGCCTAGATTGTCTTGACGGCGCAAGATGTGGGTCGGTAAACATCAATCCTCAACTTTTAAAACATAATGCCATATGAGAGGCTTGAGATCTTGCTTTTTGCATGTTCATCTCTGTTTTTCCAGAAAACATCTTCATGCGGAAAAAAATGACAAACTTCAAAGGGAACAACTCAATAGCCAGCTTTGGCGCCACAATGCACCTCTTTGGTTCCAGGAGCAAGAAATTATTCAGGCGCAAAGCAACAGCCTGAAAGTAAGTTTGAGATGTGAATAAGAGGATCGACCATTTTCCCTGAAGACACACTGTGGAGCGTTCCAAGATTTTTGATTTTCATCAGGCTTCAGGATCTTCAGGTATTCGTTGATAAAACTACTTCCTACATGATAGACCAGGTGTTTAGACACGCCAACTGGTGTCCTGGGAATTTCGCAAGGCGCAAAAAAAGGTTTTTCGTGTAAGGGACACTGAACATGGATTCCATACCTACCCCGATGACGGCGGCAATTTAGCTGTAGCAGGTACGTACTCTGACTTCTTCTGAACGTTGTTTTTTTTTTCGTGTGAGTTCCCTGGTTTGGGATTGTGGGTAAGTCGCAAGCTTTTCTTCTAAACTTCCTTCAACAAAGTAGCCGCACAGCTGAGGCAGTCAACGGCATTCAACAGAGTGCGGGCTCGATTTTTTTCATGTGTCCGTCACCCTCATTTCTTGTCTGTCTTTTCTGATCCTTGGTCTTATGTAATTTCTTCTTCCTCTCCGTTCCCATCCTTTCCTGTTGAGCTCTTGTGGTAGGAATGTTGAACTGGCCCACAAAGGTCACTTGAGATCACTTGAGCTTTCGGGGTAGAAAATCTCATTTTGTCTCAGCTTCATACTAAATGCTTGGGAAATCTTGGACATATCTCAACACCGAACTGGAGGCCAGAGAAGAGTGGAACAAATTTGTTTTCGAGATCAAGGCAGGAAAATCTCCGCAAAGCCTTGCAGAAAGCAAGGCATTGGGTCTTCTTGTCATGCAAGAGAGCCGGCCGCACAAAACCCCAAACCAGGCACTTTGGGAGAGCAACAAGTTGAAGCAAGTCCTGGAGATCCAAGAGCAACGATTTGGCAAGGACATGAGTTTTCAAAAATACGATGAATGACATCTTTAAATAATTAGCATTGTTTGGGGGAAGAACTCTCGGCAGGTCAAACGCACTTTATCTGTCAGATCCGTTTCTTGACCTGTGCGTAGGAGGATAGAGACACCCTCAGCACCAAGATCGATCTGGCGGCTGTTCTGCAGCAGCAGAAGGATTTCACCGCAGCGCAGCAACAGCTGGAGGAAGTATTTGAAGGTCTTGGCCGAGCTCTGTCTACCAATCTGAAGGATGAACTTTGTGGTTGGTGTGAAAAACCTGCATGTGCCAGCCCTACTTCCCAAAACCCCAAAGATTGAACCTGTAGCCGTAGCCCTTTGCTAGATGCTTTCTGTTGCCGAAAACCAGAGTTTTCTTGACGCCAGGACGACCCAATTATGCACAGGGCTGTCGACCACTTTGCGAGTTTACTCGGCTGCCTTCACAACGACAAGGATCCTTGCTTGATATACAGTTTGATCATCTTTGATCATGTTTGATCATGTTTGATCAACATTTGCCTGCTAGATGTAAAATGTCAATAGCAAATGCCAAGATTATAATTTTGCAAAGTTTGCATCGGACGACATTTGGTCAAGTGTCCAACCGTAAAGCCCGCTCCAGCCAAACTCTGAAATCTCAACTTGAGGATTTGTTTGAAGATACGCGAGTTGGGATTGGGTGTAGAGTTTACAGGCGAATCTTCTGGCGCTGGTACTTACAGAACATGTGCATAGTAATATATATACATTACATATACATATATATATACAAAGATATTATGTTTTTGTCAAGAGACATCTAATCTTCAAACCGTCTAAACATTTCCAAACGAAGAACGTATCCACGCTGCCACCAAACACACCAATTATGTATCTTTTCTTCGCATTTGGGCAACAAGGCATCAGGGTCTTCGCGTTCACGATCTTTCCAAAAAGCATCAGAGTTTCCAAAGGAAATCTTCATTGGTTGTAGGATGTCGTAGGATTGATTTTCTTTGAGTCGCAATTGGAGAGATGAGCGAGTGACTTCATATTTTGAGTCCGAACCTTTGTTTTTTCGCCAAAACTTGAGAAGGAGACAAAGTTGAAGGAAGTCTCGAAAATGCACTCACAGAAGCTCGGGGAGGACCCGATCGCATACGAACTGATCAGCGGATGAGCTCGAGAGTCAAGCTGTTGAACTTGAATTGTGAGCACTGGGCACCATTCCCATTGAGCAGAGCTGTTTCAATCAGGATGAACAGTTGTCATATAGATGATGAATAACGCGGATGCAGGACAATCCAAAGGCGATAAACTCCAAGGCTGAGCTCGCAGTTGTTCTGCAAGACTTGGATAAGGAGGAAGAAGCAGCTCAACTGTTGAAACAAATTCTGAGAGAACCACATAGACATGACCCGGGCATCGATTTTATTAAAGATCGTGCACCTAGCTCTGGACCTGCTGCTGTGGAGGACTGTGGTGCTTTTCCTTGGTTTTCTTGTGCAGCGATTTCCTATTTAGTGTGGGCGAAGCCAGTCCGTTCCATGTTAAGTTTTTGCAATGAGGACTCAGTCATGGATGAAAAGCAGAAATTCACCTTGCACTTCGTCATGAAAGAGCGAGCACACGCCAACACCCAAGACACCAGCGACATTAAATATGAAGGGAAGATTCGATCTGGAGCCTCTGCTTGCTGGATCTCCTTTCCAGGCAAATTTGCCGCGGGATGGGATGCTTTGGTGGCTGAGTTGCATGGTGATAGCGTGGCCTGCGTCTTCTTGAGCACGCCAGAATCTGGCTTAGGCAGACACCATACGTTCGAAGATGGAAGTTGCTACTGCAAGGATATTTACGGGGAGAGGGACTTTCAGACTTTCGGTTACTTGGTGAAGATGAAAGAACTTGACAACGACAAGTTGAAACGCGAACAAGAAAAGGCGAAGCTGACGAATGCTGTCATTGTTCCTGCAAATGCCACACCTAAGATGGAGGAGACGTATAGACAAGAGGCGAAGAGGAACTGGGAGATGAATGGCAAGAGAGCAGCGTGGGGATGTCAATGGTTTCATGTTTGGAAGGAGAAGGCGCAATCCAGTGGCAAAACATGAGCATGTGCGACTATTTGAGTCAGAGTGCTATTGTTTTTTTTTTTCTCTCTCTCTCTCTCTCTCCCCATATCTTTTTTTGTGTGTGTGTGTGCGTGTGTCTTCAGTTTTGAATGTTGAGGTTGAAAGCTAGGTCCAACAAAACACATTTAAACACCATGTTGATGTGAGCGTGATGCATTGCGATTTGCATCCGAATGGCGCATCATTGCGCCAGGTGTATCTTCTCCTAGACATGCAGCGCCTCAATTGTGATTTGCCGTTGGGATATCATACTGCATGGTATACGGCATACGGTATACAAGTGATCTTCATATTATGAAATCGTTGTGTTTGTCAGTCTGTTCTATTGTGCAATCTAGTGCAAGAGCGTTGTAATGCCGCAAAAGCGTCTGTTCAGTTGCTGGGGTTATCGCAAAGCACCAACGCGACGGGCGGTGTGATAGTGTACTGCGGCGTGTTGCCAATGTTTCTGCATGTCCTGAGCTGGCCGGTAAAATCCAGCGTTGGAACAACTTCCGCAAAATCCAGAGCTGGACTATACATTCAATCTGTATCAATCTGAAATATGATACAGTATGATATGTGTCTATAACATGGTTTAACATTGTGTAGTCAAATTTAGCTTTCAGGCTGACTCACCCAATACACAACTGTGCAGACCACTTCGCCAATTATGTTGAGCGCATTTACATGAACTAATGCTTGGCCTACGAAACCAAACCTTTGCCATCCTTTGCATCGTTTCAGTTTACTCTTTTCAGATTAGCATGGTGCAAGGTGAGTGCAATCACGACAGCTTCACAAAGTGACATAGCACCACTTGTGTTGACATGTATTCAGCAGGTAAAACTAGATGGCGCAAAAAGCTACCTCTTGAGCCTCTCGCCACTGCAAAATAGCAGAGGTCACAGTCAGAACCCGCTACCATGTTCCGATGGCCAATTTGCACCCTGTCTGGTATATTCTCATTCTTAAAGAGAGATGATGCGTAGGGTCTTAGGGCAGCCTTTTCTTGGCGTTGCGCCAAATCGACTGGCCTTAGTTCCGGACCCCAACAACCCGCGTCGATAGAAACTGCCATCGAGTTTTTCGCCAGAAACCTTTCGGAGGTCAAACAATGTTAATAAGGCACTTTGGGCCTAGACAGTTTGTACCTAAATTGGCCAACGATACAATGCATTTTTACTGTCACTTCTACATTTCTACTCCAGAAACTTGTTCCATCAAACCCTTAAAGTAATTATTCAAAACCTTTGGCGCCACGAGGTCTTTTACATTCTTCCACACAGCGTAAAACAGCACGCAGGGATACCCAGGGTATGGGTTGCACACCAGCTACGAAGACTGGTTGTTGCAGCAGGGTTCTTCATTCATAAGAAAACACATTTCAATTGCGGGAAGAACAACAGGCTGTTTTAGGACAATCACTGTTCATGGCCTCACACAAACCTTGAAGGTGCACGAAGCTGTTGAGAAGAAGCAGACTCTCAGAGTTGTGTTTTTTCCTGGCCAAAAGGGCCAAGGAAAATTAATGCTTCGAGAGCTCAAGTACAGAGACTTATGGGATGGCGTTGGCTGCGGCGGAAGCCAGAAATGTGAGATCGCTTATGTAGAACAAATGCGGGCTGAGCATGGCTCGGCGTGGGACTATGAGGAGATTGACGTAACCAGGTTTTTGGAGAAAGAGTTCCCGGTGCATTCCACGGTTGATGCCAAGCATGGCAACAGGTGGAGAACAGGCGTGCTGTTGATGACTGTCCCAAGTTTTGACCATGATGTAGTGACAAGGTCGGCAGAATTAAAGTGGATTGTTCAGTGCAAAGAGACACAACAAATCTTTGTGTCGAGGCACATTCGTCACGCAACAGAAGCAATTCACAATTTGCTCGACACCGGTCGCCATGATTTTTTGAAAAAGGCCTTGCAGAGTGCCATTCCCCAGGGGATTCAGGCAGAATTGCCCTATCAAACAAGACTGCCACATGGTACCCCATCGATAGCTTTCAATGTGAAGACCGACAAGATTGAGATCGCTCAAATGCTGCGGGATCAAGTTCTCAGTGGTGAGTTGAATTTGAACATGAAGCAAGCTTTGGCACAGGATCCTCATGCTAGATCAGAGATTCACGTGGACCAGTCAGAGTTTCTGGACAGCTATGATAGGAGTCTGCAGAGGCTGTCAAAGCTTACTCAGCATCAGGAAGAGAAACTGAAGGAGCTGAAGCAACTCGACAATCAAAACCTGCACCTAACTGCCCCTGCTGGCTCAAGGTTGTAGCCAAGCAAATAGGCATTTCGGGCGCACTTTTAAAGCCATGGCGGGCTTGTTCAAAGCCATGCTGGCGGTGCTGGCCCTGTGCTGCGGAGGTGAGATGAACAGAGATGACGATGGACAATGGTTTGTGCAATGCCGGGTGTATTGCATCTTACTCACTGTCCCTTTTTTTGCGCTAGCTACTTCGTGAGTTATCAATTCGTTGCATTGAATTTGAATTTTGACGTCCTTGCAATCTTTTCTGGTGTGTGTATGGGTATGGCTGCGGTTTCAAGACGTTTGTGCAGTAAAGCCGGTAAGATTGAATGGATGATGCAAAGTTGGAGCCGGATTTTCCACATCGTGAACTTGGTGAGGAAAACTGTGTGTGGGAGAAAAGTGTGGTGGCCTCTCTTGAAGATTATGGTGATTTTAACAGGTTGTGCTTGTTTTTGCTGGCTTGAGTCACCGTGGAGCTTCAAGTTCTATCAGCGCTTCGTGGCTATGTGGTCCACTGCTTGGATGCATTTGTGGGACCTTTGGGGCTCCTTTGCTGCTTTTGTATTCTTCCACGTCAAAGCCATGATTTTGCAGACTCATGCTTCGTGTGTTTCTGGACACACCGTGGATGGTTTTCAGGCAACTCCTGGATTCAAAATACCGGTGAATTGCGTTGCGCAGATGGTTGACACGGATTTCAAACCAACTTGGAATCATGGTTTGCTGTCAGCTGTGGCGATGATGTCTTATTATTTCGTGACCCTTTGGCAATTTTGCTCCACTAGGACATGCAAGCTTGTTTCATGGGGGAGCGTTTTTACAATGATGATTTCTGGGTTGGTTTTCTGCAACCGATCTCTTTGCCATGTCACGCAAAGGCCTCAGATTGCTGAGGTTGTCTCTGCAGTGTCACAGTGGTGCCAGCAGTTTCAATTCACAGGTGCCGATCTTGTTTGTTTAGGCCTCAGTTTAATTTGTGTGCGATGTTTCTGACAAGCCGTCATTTGGAGTTTCCAAACCAGACATGATGCTTCTGTTGCATACATGCAGAAGCACTTTTTGCGAAATGCCGCGGTCGTATTTTGCTTGCATACTTGTTTGTCCAATCCGACCAGCCTCTCTTTCGTTTTCGCCGGGGCCTACAAGGTCCTTGTCCTGATGTGCGGAAAGAAGAGAATAGTAGGTTGTGGAATAGCACTCCTTGGCATCATGCTCATGCGAATGTTGTTTTCAATGCATCGGTTCCTCACATGGAATGCACAGAAAGCGCTGCTGTGGTTCTGTCATCTGGCATGCAAGATCATGGTCATCGCTTTCTTTTTCCGAAAGCTGTTGACTGAACCTTCTTTTGTGAATCTGCTTTTGATTGGTTTAGGGGTTGACATCATCGATTTGGTGACATTAGCTGTTTTCAGGATAATGCTGTCACTTCACCATTTGAATGCAAGGCCAAAGAAAGTCTTCAAGTGCAGAAGAGTTGGCCGAAAGCGCTGCCGATTGCATCGTAAGTGCATCCGAAAGCCAAGAGTCAGTTTGTTTAATAGGGTAGGCCGTTTCCTGTCCTTTTGCGTACGTGCGCAGTTTTGCCCATTCTGTCAAAACATGCCTGAGCATTCGCAAGCCTCCCCGCCCAGATCTTCCTTCCGCGGGGGAGGTCGTAGAAACAGTCCAGAGACACCGGAACAGAAACTGCTGCAAGGTTTGCAGATTTTGTTGAAAGATACTTTGCAGGCCTCTAGCTCCGGAGCCTCAAACAAAAAAGGCAAGGGTAAGGGCTCCGGCAAAAGTAGTGGTAAAAGCCTACCTTCCAAACAGAGAGATGCGAACCATGATGGCAGCTATGGGCTGATTCAAGCCTTGCAAAAGCTAACTGCCCGAGCCGCAAAGAAACCACAAGGGTTGCTCCAAAGGTTGAAAACATTGGTTCAAGTTACTGAACGTGGTATGTTGCGACCAAACAAGAGGAAGAAAGATCTGCCGCCGCATGAGGCGGTCCCGCCAGTGAAACCAAGCACACAATTCAAAAGTTCAGAGAATTTGGTAGATGTTGCTCCTAAGCCAAAAACACGATGGCAACGCGACAGATCCTGGAAAGCCCGTGCCCAGGACTGGGGCGTCAAAACTGTTTTGCGTGGCCCCACAGCTCTGTGCAACGCTCTTGACAGTGGGGACACCGGTGCTCTCCTGTGTCAAGTACAAAATCTGGATGATTGGAATGAAGCCCTCCAAATTTCTCATGCTGCTGGTCGCACCAATGTCACGGTTGTTCTTGAAGCTGCACCTAACATGTCTCCAGAACTTGGCAAATTGAGATATCATGGTTGGACAGCCTTGAACACACGTGCAGCTGGTTATGCCGATGATAAATTGGTCCAGCGCTTGGTTTGGATTGCGCGGTGCTCGCCAAATGCACCCACATTGGTTCCAGGATCCGTGCTGACAGGCGCCAGGCGGCCTGTTGTCCAGAAACACGGCCATGAAGAGTCTTTTGTTTTTCGAATTAGTTGTGACATGCGATTTATTGCCAGTGACAATCGCCATCATATCACACAGGGACCTGGGAATTTTTTTCGTTTGTGGCTGTCTGATTTAGGCCCAAACGCTAGGGATCTTCTGCTTCACCTTGGTGACACGTGGGGATTCCAAAAACTCGAGGCTGAAAACCTGGTTCGAGGATTTGCTCGCGTCAAAGGCAAAGACAGGGCCCTGCAGTTGATTAAAGCGAGCGGCTCAGAACACAAAGGTCAGGTTTGGTTTCTTGATCCTGCCAGATGGGATGGCCTCGCAGAAACACCTCCACGCATGCTTTGGGTGGACAAACTGGAAAATGAACAACAAATTGCATTTGCTCGTCGCGTAGCTCATGATTCGGGTCCTTTTGGCATGGCTAGGGGTCGTGTACAGCTGGCTCTCAGGGTCAAACCAGACGATGAGCGGCTCAAACCCACTTCTAGTGTTTGGCGGGTTGAGACAGTGCCGTTTGGTTGGGATTTTGAAAATGTGGAAGAAACTCTGGTTGAAGCAGGTTTCTCTGAAATTGATATTTTAGCAAAGCAACGCCGTCGTGGTGGCACTGCTTGGGTTTTCAAAGGCATGAGAAATGATGACCGTGATCAAATGCAAATCCATTATGATGCGGACGAGACGTGCAATGAGCCACCATTAGATCTGTTTTTAGTTAAGCAGTCCAAACGACGTGCGCCAGGAAATGTCCAGCCGTTGAAAGCAGAAAATGATGTGCTCTTTTCACTAGATGCATTTCACAAAAAAGGTAAGGGTAAAGGCAAAGGAAAAGGCAAGCACAAATCCAAGCTTGAAGTGCCTGACTTTGCAACCACGCTTGCCTTACCGAAAAGTAGTCCACCTCCATTACCCTCCAAGGATGATCGCGGTAACGAAGCTATGGATGTCAGTCTGATTAGCGTCCCAGATGCAAGTGATGTTGAGGATGAGCCCATGCATGTCCAGGGCACCAAACGCAAAGACCAGGCCATGTTGACCAGCCCGCAAAAAACTGGTCATGACAAAAAGAGGATGAAAGTGCCCGAGAGGCTTCAAAAAGTTCCGAACCCTGGGGAAGGGAATTGCTTGTTTTACTGTCTAGCTCAGGCGGAGTCTACCCCAGGTAAGTCCCGCAGCCACAGGCAGGTGCGTGCATTTGTTGTTGCCTACATGACCAAACACTTCAAGAAATACGAGGATTTCTGGGACGGTTTAAGCCCGAGCAACATTCCCATGGAGGGTGGGTTTGACGATTATTTACAAGCCCTTGAAAAAGATAAAGCTTGGGCGGGATATTGTGAAATCGAAGCATATGGCGAAGCCATGCGCCGACCTGTACTTGTTGTGCATGCCAAGGACAATGTTGTCCATGCTTTTAATAGTCATGGCGATAAGGATGTTGTCTGTCTCTGGTACAAGGATGAACATTATGAGCTTATTGTTCCTTCAGACGCAGATATTCAGGCCCTGTGGCAGAATGCTGAAGACGGTGGCACCAAGGGTTACCGCGGGGCCGCAAAGAAGGCACGCTTGGCTGCCGACAATGCCTCTATTTGCCTTTCACAATTTGCAACTCCCAAATCCAGCAGGCCAAGCCCAAAGTTGACCGATTTTGCCCGGAGCACCCCTGCCAAACGGAGTGCATGTCTGACTGATTTTGCATCAACGGCCAAACCGAGCCGTCAAAAGACCGAGCAATCAGAAGCCGAGCCATGTGGTTCCAACCCATCTGCCGCATCAGCTTCTGCGTCTGTTGCCACTGGGCGCGACCGGGAAATCACGTGGACATGTCACATTTGCAACGTCTCTTTCACTGACAAAGCATGCATCGTTTCAAAAAGACGTACGGATCACATTAGGCGTACGCATCGTGGTACCCCAACCACCAATTTTAAAAAGGCTGTTGATCAGTACAGGGCTCCGGTTACTGCCGTATCGTATGGGCCCACTCATGCTGCTGTTTCTTGGACTTGTGGTTTTTGCATGGGCACCCTCCCCATTTTGCCTAAGACACATCAGAAAGCATCAATCGTTGCTCATTTGCGCTCCTGCGCCAAGGCCCCAAAAGGGGCCACCAGAGGCGACTCCATTCTTCGCCTTTGCAAGAGAGCAAGCGTGTCATCTGATGTACCTCACAGAAGCATTTTGCCTTGGAAGCTGAAGCATCGCCAGATGTATGTGCAACTCAACAAGTTTGCCAAGGAGCAAGGACACTCCCTATCCCAAGTGCAGAGACGTACTACTGGAACGAAAAAATTGGCTGGTGGGTCGAAAAAAGTTATTTTCTTCATGGCTCAGCATGCTTGTTCCATTTGTGCTGGTTACTGGAAAACTGAGAAGTCCGTGAGAGCTGCAGGTCCTTGTGGCGGGCGGACTGCTCGTGCCGAGTGGTTAGCCATGCCTGGTCGCCAAAAATGCTGGCGTCAGGCTCCCAAAGAGCGCCAAGAGGCGCTGCACAAGGCTTGGCGTTTGAGTGCTACTGAGCGTAGGAAGCTTGATGATGCTTGGGCTAGCGCCAAGAAAAAGTCGCGCAAGAAGTGGCCGCCTAAGTCATGGAAACGCGATTTGACTGCTGAGAATATACACCCCCATCCAGGCCCAGGCCATCCTGACCACTGGATTCTCTCGTGGAATTGCCGTGGATCGTGCAATGCTTGGAGGGGCCTAAACTTGCTTCAGGATGAGGGTAATTTGCCTTCTGTTTTATGTCTTCAAGAGCCTGACTTCGAGCCTCGTCAAGGCTCCCAGTATGTTGAAAGGCTTCAGAAACTTGGGTACAAGTGTTGGACCATTCCGGCCAAACCTATTCGCACACTTAAACGTGAATTTTACCGAGGTGGTCTTTTGGTTGCATTGCGAGAGCATCTCAGAGGAGGCATCTGGGACACACTGGCTTGCGATGAAGGGTATGTCATGACTTTGGATCTTCAATCGTGCCTACTTTCCTCAGTTTGGCGCCGGCCAAGCCAACTTGATGGTTTGCAATTTTTGGAATATGTTGCTACGGTCACTGAAGAAGCACAACGCAGGCAGATACCTGCACTTTGGGTAGGTGATTGGAACGAAACTCCTGATGACAACGCCGCATCCATTTTCTTGAATGGCAGTGTTCTGGCTGTCACGGATCCTGATCAATGGGTGCCTAGCCGGTTCGAAGGTAAAAGATGTCTTGATTACGGAATTCTCAGCGGCGGGTACGGTTTTGCTGATTGCCCGCGTTACAGTGAATGTAAGATTTCTGATCACAAGATGTTTTGGCTTAGATTGCGCTTGCCCATTTTCCAGACTGATACGTGGAGGTTCGCTTGGCGGCCTAACTATGAATGTCCTCCGGAAGTGCCTGTTGAGCAATGGCGGGCCGTGCTTGCAGAACAATGGGCCGCTTACGTGCCATGTTTTTCTCAGGATCCCGACCAAGATTGGGAATATTTTCACCAGTTTGCTGAAAAGAGCATGCGTGAAGCATTGCACTTGTGTGGCCAGCCCGTGCCTAGGCCAGGCCATGCGCGCGGGAATTTGCCTCGTGTGATCAAGGCTGAACGCCCCCAGGTGAATACGTTCCCTGCCAGAAAACTTGTTAATGTGCTTGGTCGTCTCTATGAAGTGAAGCGACAGTTAGCCAAGTCCCAGGGAGACAAAAAGCTTTTGCAAAAATTATGGTCGACTTGGCCGTCTGAATACAATGAGCTTTGGGGGTCTTGGAACCACGCTATTGAAGTGTTTGAACAACGCATTGCGCTTGAAAACAGGAAGTCCAAGAACCAAAGGCTGACCGAGTGGCGTACCAGAATGCGCCAGGGGGGCAAAGAGGTGACCCGGTGGATGAAGCCTCACAAACCTCCAACACCACGCTCTGTTTCCGAAGATTCTTGCGCCACGATCACGCAAACCCTTGATTGTATTCGTTCTTTTTGGCAGCGTATTTGGAAACGTGATGACCTCGTTCCACACTTACCCCCGGAATTTAGAACAATGGAAGCCCTGGCTGGACCCCAAACTGATTGGATGCCAGATGCTGCCCTCATCCATCAGGCCGCTCTCAGAGCCTCGGGGTCTGCAGCCGGATGTGACGGTTGGTCCGGCAGCGAAGTTTGCCATTTCCCGCTTGTTGCTTGGGATCACTACCGTGATTTGGTTTTGCATTGGTCTCAGTTAAAACAATTCCCACAGGCATGGCTGCAGGTTCGTCAGGTTCATTTAAGAAAGGATGACAGTGGGACTGTAGGGTCTTTGCGGCCTATTGCAGTTGAAAGCATTTTTCTTCGGTTGGTCTCCTCATCTTATGTGAGGACCCCACAGGTTCAGGAATGGATTGCGTCTCGGGTCCCCGAGCAGTGCCATGGAGGCTTGAAATCCCGGGGGGTTGCCACGGCATGGAGGCAACTCAATGAAGCGTTTGAAAACCAGGAAGTTCTTGCTTCTTTAGATTTCTCCAAATGTTTTGATTTTGTCCACCCAGGTTTGGCCATTGAAAACATGCAACTGCAAGGGTTGCCAGATGAGTGGGCTAACATTTTGATGTTTGTATGGGGTCATCAAGTGCGATGGCTGTGCTTGGGGAAAGCTGTGCACCCAACGCCGGAGCATGTCCAGACCTCCATGCCGCAAGGTGATGCCTTTGCACCTCTGGCTCTTATCATGTTGCTCATTAGGCCCCTTCATGATGTGTCTTCCATTCCAGACTTGCGTCAGGTTGCATACGTTGATGATCGCGCTTTGAGCGCGCCTAATGTTCCACGTTTAATTGCTGGCATCCATAGATGGCGCAGCTGGAGTGCCACTTTGGGTCTCCATGAAAACGTTCAAAAAATGCGTTTAGTTGCCTGCACTGCGCAACAAAAGCAAGAGATCAATGACGCAGGGTTTGGTGAGTATCTCCGACCGGCCACTCGGGTCTTAGGTATTGACTTTAAGGAAAGTGACCTTATTGTTTCCCCTGTTCTTGAAAACCGTTTGCAAGAAGCAGTGTTTGCCGCTCACCGTTTGCAGAAATTGCCGGTTGCCCGCGATATCAGGATGTCTTTGTACAGGTCCAGAATCATTTCACTCGCCACCTGGGGCGCTTGGTTTGAACGATTGCCGCAGTCACAGTTGCCTTCGCTTCGAAAGGCATGGCATGCCATTTCCTATCTGCAAGGTAACGCTTCGAGACCTCTTTTCAACCTGCTTGTAGGTCATATGTATCATGCTGAGTTTTGGGCCACCATGTCTTCCATTCGGACCATGCGCCAAGTTCGTGCCCCTTGGCGAAGGATGCCACGACCTGGAGGCTGGCAGAGTTTCATTTGCGCACGCATGCGAGAGCTGAACTGGGAATTTCGCGGTCCATGGATGTTTGCACATGAGGATTTGGGTCATGTCGATTTATCCAATCCAGATGAAGCTGTTGTGAAACTCACCGAGCACAAGGTGAGAGAAAGTTGGCGCCGAGTGCAATTTGCCCTTTGGAAAAAGCAGAACCGCCGTGATAGGCATTATTTGCTTGATGTGCCGTATGAGGAAAGTCGTGTTTCCGATGCCCGCAAGTTGTTCTCTCTCACGTGTGATAGTCATCAGAGGGCCGTAATGCTTGGTTCTGCGCATTCCACGGCATGTTATGATAAGATGCGTGGACACGAAGTGAGGGAACAATGTCCCTTTTGCGGTGAGCAAATCCCACCTGTCTGGGAACATCTCTCCTGGCATTGCTCCGCCGAACAGTTGTCTTCCGGCCGCCCTGAGGTCCCTGAAGATGAATTGCAAAATCGTCTTGCTTGGCCCACACGTGGGTGTGATGCATATGATAGAGCGGTTCTTCACCACATGGCCCGGGTCAGGGCCACTGTGCGTGAAAACATGAATTGATCATGTCCCGTTGGCTGCGGTGTCCGGTACCTTCGGGTATTTGAGGCATCCAGTCGTTCAACCCATAATAATAACTGCCCCTGCTGGGGCGGGTAAGACATTTCTAGCTGTGAAATACGTGCTGGAAAAGCTCCAAGCAAATCCTGAAGGTCGTGTTCTCTATGTTTCCCCTTGCATTTCCCTTGGTCTTTATTTTCTACGATGGTTGGCCAGGTGGCAAGCTGCAGAAACAGTGGAATCAACCCGTGACGCAATGAAAACCCTGATGCGAAGGGTCATCATGCTTCAGAAGCCCTATGAAGAGTTTGTTTTCTTGAGCACTCAAGGCAATCAGATCGTGCAGACTTCGACCAAGCCAGTGTCATTGAATGAGAAGTTCTTCTTGGCAGTATTTGATGAAAGTCATGAAGTTTTTAGCCACTGCAGGAACATTTCAGAGCATGTCAGCTCAGAAAGCACACTTTTGCTCTCAGACACTTCTCAGTGTTCTGATATGAATGTGAACATCAATTACCCAAACATCAAGTGTGTAGCTTTGACGGAGGTTGTAAGGAGCACCAAACGAATAGTTAGAGGAGCAGCCGCATTTCAGATCTTGAGTGAAGAGCAACAAGCGACAAGTCTTGGCACAGATGGCCCACCTCTAAAAAGTTTTCTTTTTCAGAGTGCAGATGAAATTACGGCTAGTGGGTACAAGAAGGAATACTCCGCATTCGTCGTGAAGGCCTTCTCACATGCGGCTCAATCATACCCCAACCTGTGCAGTTTTAACAGTCGTATTGCTATCCTGGTCCCAAATGACAGATTTTTGGAATCTCTCAAAGGGCCTTTACAGGCAGCGCTGGGCCATTCGTTCAGACATCGAAGCTTTCGGTTGGTTTCGTTCAGTGAATCCCTCAGTTTCCTGCCTACATACTCATCTGAAACAAAAGATGAATTGATAATTCTGGATACAGTTGACAGCAGCAGAGGCCATGAGGCCTTAATGGTCATTTGTGTTGGGCTTGACGAACCGATTGAGGGTCAAGGCGCCAAAGTGGACTTGGTGACTCGGGCCAAGCTGTATGTCGGGATTTCCAGAGCTCAATTCATGGTGATGGTCGTCAACTGCCATGTGCCTGGTGGGTGGTTGGAATTTTTGGCCAAGCTGGAATTCAAGGAAAGCAAATTCCAAGAAGCATCTGGACGTGCGGAGATTCGAACGAATGCAGCTGTGGAAACTCTGAAGGTGTCTCGTCGGACAAGCGATGCTATTGTATGATACGATATTGCTCCCGTATTGTTCGACCAGCAAGTTTCTGATTTGCAATAATATGTTCGCGGGGTTCGAAGAATTTACAAGCGCCGAATGATCAGAAGCTGAGGAAGCCAAAATCATTCATTAGAGGATGAGGTCCTTGGTAAGGATCCTTCATGCTTTATCCTTTTTGGGTGCCCTTCTACCATGGCCACCTCTGGTTTTACTCGCAAAGGGCTATGGAGTAACTAAATTCAAGTTCAAGTCCCCAAACATCCCCAAACAAGCGACGGAGAAACACTTCAAATTATCTGACCTGTGAGTTTGCTGCTTTTGTAGGCATTTGTGATGCCAAGCCCTTCGCATGTGACAGTTCGCGAAAGCGGACATGGTGCCGATGAACCAAAGCACGAGAAGGCAAAGGGCCGTTTGCAATTTGGTGTTAGCAACCCAAGTTTTAGAAACATTCTAATAGGGGCTTGTCATGCATGGGTGCCAGGAGTCTAAACTGCTGGAATTACACCTTCCTTCAACGAACCACCTTAATGTTGCAGCTGATGACATCTTTCTTCTTCCAAGTGACAACACATTTTGCGCTGGAGGACACCAAACCAGAGCAGGGGCAGGTGTGGGAGTGAGCTGAGAGAAGCAGAGAGAAAGAAATGTTAGTTGGATGAGGTTTGTTACACACATATGTCAGGACTCACATATGGACCAATCTTTGCAAAATTCAGGGATGTGCATTTGCATGCACCCAGTGCTCCAAAGCTCGCTGAATTTTGCCAGGACCTGCCTGAACAGACGGAGCTCAAGGTACTCAAGAGCTCTGTGTGGGATACGATCATTGACAGCAAGATCGCAAACCAGATTCACCATCTCCGATTTGACCCCCGTGCCGAGGCAGGGCCTTTGTCAAATCCTGCACGACTAGACAACCCGACATGACAACTTTCCCGCACTGTTGCTTGTGAACCTGCCATGTGGGGAAGGAATAGAGAGGAATGAAAGGGTCATTGCAGATAGTGTTCCCAGGTAGATGTTCTGGGTTTTGCAAATGGTTTTTGAATGTTTTGATATGTTATGTAGGTACTTGTAGGGACTAAGACAGGCAGAGTTTCTTCGCACAAGCAAGTTTGAATCAAAAGGATTGCTGGTGTTATTGCTGATTGGTTGCGACCAATGAGAATTTGATGCTAACTGATGCATGCTGATGAAGTGATATCATTGATGCATTTGGCCCTCCAACTGACAGCCTAGGCAACAACCCCAGCAGAAGCTGATGCAAAGGCAGCTGCCAGCGTTGTTTTGGCCATGGGCCATGATCTGCTCTGATGTATTTGCATGAACGCGGACCCTGCCGATCCCTTTTTGCAAAACATCATAGTGACATAGAATACATCGATTTATATAATTATATATATATATATGCTAGCCCCCCCCCCAAAACCGACGTTTTTCTCTTTCTTGTTTTGAAGACTGAGTAAATAGCGTGCTTTTTAAAATAAGTATACTGGAGTGATTTTCGATTTCTTCTGACAATTACGTTGAGCAACATGAGAATCTAGAGGAATATTGGAAATAAACTCTATTTTTGATATTTTAGATTTCATATCTAATATCAAGTTTAGAACTGGAGTAAAAAGCTTTAAAGCCTCATCTAAGATATTTAATAATCTGTCTTCTGGAAATTCCATTCCACATCCTTCCACCATAGTTATTTCATTTTTTGAGCCACTAATAAATATATCCATATTCTCTGAAGAAGAACTAGAAACAGATGGAAAAAAAAACTGGTGATTCAAATTGTGCCAAAATATCTAAAACATGCTATTTTTGTATGTTTTTTTTTTTCTACTTGCTTATTGTTTTAATTACATACACACAATTTTTACAATCTACCAAAAAATAAAAATAAATAAAGCTCTTGCTATAAATAGTTGGATTAAAAATGATTGGCAAAACTGCTTTAAACGCTAGCAAGAAAATATATATCTAGATATATATCTTATAAAAATCACTTAATTAAACTCGACAATCTATTACTACAAAACCAATTAAATTTTAATAGTTCTTATTTCTTCAGTTGTTTAAAAGATATGGATAAAAGGATAGTGCAATGTCGCATTTTAATAAAGCAAAATCATACTCAAAGCACAAACATGTATCATAACATTATAATAAGCATCAATATAATTAAGGATTAATTTTTGATTATTTATTTTCCAGAAAAGATCTATATACGTCTAAACCCATATAGAATAGAACAAAATTTAGCTCCTATATTAAACCCATCTTTTCAAGAGACAATAAAATTGTACTGACTTAAGAATATGCTATGCAAGGGAACTATTAGTATTTAAAAAATACACTCTTGCCTACAAATTACTTAATCAAGCTAGCAAAAATATAACATATATTGACAATATATAAAAATACATAACTTGGCAGGATTTATAGCACTTGTAAAATTAAAAGTATATAATATTGCACTAAAGCATTTTTCTTATATAGATGCGATTGCTACATCACCAAATCAAATAAGTAGACATTCCTATTTTATGTATATTTGCATGCAACATATGCAACATCTAAAATATCATGCACTGTCAAAAATATTATAAAGGGCTTCAAAATACTGTGCACCTTTTTATGGAATGATAGCACATGAATTACTCAAGAATTCACAAATCTCTTTACCAAAAACAATTGATATTAATGATGCAAATATATATATATGAATGTCTTAAAACAAACATTACAAGATGAAATTGAGTTTATATCTTACCTAATAAAATATAAAACATATAACCTTGCAGACAGTTTAGTAACTCAACTATTTAACAATATATGTAAAGATATTTTCCATATAACAATATTTTTGATATATGGACAAGAGAATCAACATCTGCAAGTGATTATTTGTCAATGTGCTTTGAGTTGTAATATTGTAATTGCAGATAAACTGTTTCAACAAATGCCATTACCTGATGAAATTCCACTTCAAACTCATTATTTAACTCATGTACAATATATATGTATATATACGTATATATTAATTGTTGTCTTACTGTTGAACCCAGGTACTTAGAGTAATTTTGTCACCAAAAGCGTTTGCAAACGTTTGCAAACGAGTCCAGGGACCCAAGTACTTAGAAAGATTCAAGATTCAAGATTCCCAGAAAGAATTCTTGAATCCAAGGGGATAGGATTCAAGATTCAAGATTCAAGATTCCCAGAAAGAATTCTTGAATCCCAGGATTCAAGATTCAAGATTCAAGATTCCCAGAAAGAATTCTTGAATCCAAGGGGGCAGGATTCAAGATTCAGATTCAAGATTCCCAGAAAAACTTCTTGAATCCAAGGGGATAGGATTCAAGATTCAAGATTCAAGATTCCCAGAAAGAATTCTTGAATCCCAGGATTCAAGATTCAAGATTCAAGATTCCCAGAAAAACTTCTTGAATCCCAGGATTCAAGATTCAAGACCTATCCCCTTGGATTCAAGAATTCTTTCTGGGAATCTTGAATCTTGAATCCTGGGATTCAAGAAGTTTTTCTGGGAATCTTGAATCTTGAATCTTGAATCCTATCCCCTTGGATTCAAGAAGTTTTTCTGGGAATCTTGAATCTTGAATCTTGAATCCTATCCCCTTGGATTCAAGAATTCTTTCTGGGAATCTTGAATCTTGAATCTTGAATCCTGATCAGGAACGTTTGCAAGCGTTTGCAAACGTTTGCAAATACTTCTTGTAAAAAATACTCTAAGTACATGGATTTAGTAATAGTAAGATAACAAATAATATACATATGTGTATATATATATGCATATATATGTATGATACTGCCCCACTGGATCTCAAACTGAACAAGGTAACTATCCCAAAAGCGTTACAATCTTGAAAATGTCGGTTTTTTGGGGGGGGGGTACCATATATATGTATACATATATGAATCAAATATAATTAATTGCAATTATTCCCCCTGTATAAAATGTGATCGTGGCTTCTCAACCTAACCATTTTTCTCCGAGCTTCAGGGAATCATCCCAGCACGTTGTTAGGAAGACATGCGCATGAATCAAACACCCCCCTGACGAATCTGATGTATTTGTTGATTATCTGGTCCCAGAAAATTTGGTGGGGTGAGTGTCATTCATTTTCAGATGAGTTTCCAACATTTTCCCTTGAAACATTGGAACTTCCCAGCCAGCCAGTTTAGAATCCCAGGGAATGATTCCCAGAGGGTATGCAACTAAGCATTCACCAAAGGTTTACCGTCGAATCTGTCCGAGTATCCGATTATTCTTGGTTACAGTAATCGCCTAGGCTTGGTTGTTTCCATGGGTTTTATCATGTCTTATCACCACTTCATGTGTGGTTTCTCTCGTGTTCGATGTTCAACCTGGATTTTGGATGGTAAACAAGGCTGCAACAACCGTAGTGGTAATAATCCAACTTTTGATGGCAGAATCTCCGTTTTCCACGGTCTAAATCCTTAACTTTGATTTTGCTATAGTCAAATATACTAATATACTTAGTAAATGCAACATCTCGCAGAATCTCAACTGTCAAATGTCAACTCCCAACCTTTCATCGTCACATTTTCGTTGCTGTCTGATGGATCTCCACGCGCTGTGTAGCCCTAGCGTTTCCAGAATAATTTTGTCGTTGAAGACGGGCTGGTGATGTTGGCTCAGTGGATTGCAATGCGTTCAACCCAATAGCAAAACCCTGAATGTGTGGTATAATCCATCCTCAAATGGTGGGTTTATGGTCTTGGGTTTGCCACAGTGTCAACAGTCATGAACATATATCAACGTCATGCATGGCAAATGGCCGACGATATTTTCAATTTCTTCGCCTCACGTCTTGGTAGTGGAGACATGAGTTGTTATCGAGTTCCCTGAAGTTTTTCATGGCAACATCCACAGTGTGCACACAATTTCGGGAGCTGTGACAACAGGAAGATCCGGAAGATTTGGAAGATCCAGAACAAGTCGAAGCCGACGAAGCGGCAGCGGCGAAATGTCTGGGCCTCAGTCCTTACTGACTAAAGATAGAACTTGATGCTACCTCAGGTAGAAGATCTGAAAGTAATTTGAAGTTGCACTTCAAGTTCCACAACATGAACATCATGAACTTATAACAGTTCAATAAGTTCAGTTTCTAACTTATTCAATATAATCTCCATAAGTAGCAGACTTGTACTTAGAAAAGATAAAACATAAAGATCAAAGGAACTGAGGAACTTCATTTCTGCTGCATTTCTCCCCGCGCCGAGATCGAGACATCGCCCGAGCGGCGCAGTACGGCAACCTGGCGGCGGTGCGGGGCCACCTGCGCCGCGACCGGCGCTGCCTCGGCCGACTCTTCGAGGTCGAGGGGACGGACGTCCGCCGGGCCGCGCTGCACGTGGCAGCATTCCGCGACCACCCGGCGGTCGTCGCCTTTCTCCTGGCGAAGGGCGCGGCCGTGGACGTCCGGGACAGCCACGGCCTGGGAGCTCAGAAGCCGCGGGGAGCCGCAGCAGGTGGTGCCTCCGACGCCTGCGGTGCTGAGGTTCCACTCCGCTGCATCTCGCAGCACTCTGCGGCAGCGTGGAGAGCGGCAAGCTGCTGCTGGCCGCGAAGGCCTCAGTGGACGTCAAGAACCATATAGGCCGGGGGCCTCAGCCGATGTCACACCCGTTTTGAAAACAGTTTTTCACCGGCAATCACAACAAATAGTTGCAGTTCAATGTGGCATTTGTTTTGATGAATTAAAATTTGAAATTTCAGGTTCTTTCAACTTCAATCAGCATGAGATTTCCCTGGATTTATCATCTCACGTTCCCGTCTTCAAAGTTCCCCTGAAATTCAAGAGCCGTGATTTTGGGGCGTGTCTCTGTCACCATCAACGTAGCAAGCACACTTCTTGTTTGAAACATGTTAAAACATTAGGGTTTAGAGTTCATCCATGTCTTTGACATCCACGTGAGCCAATGTGAAGAATGAAACAGAGGTTTCCGCACGTTTTAAACACCACTTGTCAAATTCTGCAGCCCGTACGGCGATCAATTGAAGTTATATTATAATTGGAAAGGGTCAATTGGAAAGTCAGCTGTGGTTCCCAGGCAATACGCCCTTGGATATCGCAAGAGCGTGGTGCAAGACAGGAATGGTGGACCTGCTGATGGGAAAAGCCTGTTGGCTGCACGGGTGAGGCCGAATGCAGTGGCCCAATGGCATAGTAGGTGGGAGTGTCCATGGATGAAACATCGTGAAACTGCTGGCACCGGTGGGGATGAAAACATGAAAGGCGTAGGGATAGTGTGAGTCCCTACCAGGGACGTTTACGCATCCGATTTTGGACACATGAATAACCTAAAACCATTGCCCAATCATCATCACAGGCCAACAATTGAGCGCCGGTGAACCACGAATTCGATTGAATCTGCAGAATTGACTCGCCGCCCAACATGGAATTCTTTTGGTTGAAACGCCATGCCACCCATTCAATTTCTATCACCGTCAAGAACAACTCAGATTAATTATCAGATTAAGCACGGACAGAACAGGTATGTTGTTTTTGGCGTTTGACTATCTTCAGCAATACATGGCGGCCTAAAGGTCACCGATGGTCACGTACACGAGTAGGCATTTGTTCGCTAAGATGTTTCTTCTGTCCATATCGAGTTTTGGGGTTGAATCATCTTGAGCCCCAGTTGTTTGCACCTTCGATCCGCCCAAGGCATGAAACGTAAGGCCTGGCACCGGGAATAGTTCTTTGGTGTCTGTCAGTTTTTGTTGGGAATGAAGATACATTGAACAAGTGAAACAGTGACGCCATCATCAAAAAGGTTCGGGGAATGAGAAGCATGGCTATGGGGCTGCCGAGCAGCGCCTACTGGCCCATAAGGAGCTTTGTCGCATTGTTCATTAGAAAACATGGGACACTTGATGAACACTGCAAACACCAAAGCTGTGACCGTGACTGTTGGGCTTATCACAACATGCTGGGCACCTCTAATCAGTTGTCCTTGTCAGCAAGATCTCCCCAGTGCAAAAAACTATCCATATACCTGTGCAACGAGCACCTTTGCAGGTTGTCTTGGTGCAAGAAATGCTGGACAAGTCACCTGCTTCGGCTCCCATTTTTTGCAGGTTCGCTATTGTGATTTGAAATGATTTGAACATATTTCAATTTCGGGCCAAAGGTGCCTTTGGAGTGCATCCTATGATATGATCAAAAATGTGCCGCCGGACGCCTTTTTTGTCCACATGACATGGTATGGATCAAACTTGGGTCTCCACAAAGTTGGACGGCTTAAGATGATTTAATTTAGTGCTAAAGCCATATTCCCAGCTGTGGTTGCATGGGGTTTCTCTCTATTTCAATTTGGAATCAGGACTGAGCTTAGCAAGTGGCTGGAATCTGTGCAGCCATTTGTTTTATAGCCTCACACCTCTCATTTCCGTCCGTGGTGGATTTGTTATGCTTAATTGGTTAATTCCACATCATGGCTATCTTTCAATGCGATGACGTCGTTAGGCAAAAGATCGTGACATGACCTCTAGGTCCAAACCATAGATCTTAGATGATCTTAGCTTCATGGATCATCCCAGTGGCAACTTTGGTAAGAAATTTTCCAGTGCAAGAAGTAGAAGCTTCCCCAAGTATGGATAGGTGAATATTCCTCAGGTAGTAATACAGCTCCCACGACTCCATGATCGGCAAGATATCAGGTCTTGTTTGCGTTGGGTGTGCCGCGGTTGAGATTCATGTGGGATGATTTTGCCTTAGAGTTAGAGGATATCTCGGATATATGCAATGCGTAATCGATGTCACTGGTTTCAGCTTCAAAGGGACATCATGGAGTGAAGCGCGCATCAAATTATCACCCATGGATGTTGAATATGACCACTTGTACTGACCATCAACTTTTCATTTTTCGTGAGAAACTATGGATCTTTCTGAGTGTGTTGGAGGTTGGAAATTTGTCGTTGTTCACTACTTTCAAGAAGCAATTTGGATTGGGTCGGTGAAAGAGGGGACCTCCAAGGATTGAACATAGCATCCACTCCAACATTCCTCGATTGAACATTTCACTACTACAGTTTCGGGAATTCCCGTTGCACACCATGTGCGCACAATGATGGCCTTTGATACGTTCGCGGGGTATCCAAGATGTGCAGATGTGCCGGACAGCAGCTTATTCTTGACGATTATTATAATGATTCATATTCATTCATTACCACATACGTATACAGATACATCAACATCTATCTAAAGACACTTTGCTTGATGCTGTGCATGGAGTTCTGTCTTTTTGATCTTCATGAAGGCACACGTTGTGGCAAATCAATGACCTTGGAGCCTTAGAGATGTCTTTGCTGACACTGCAAGCACGTGTTCAATCTCTCGTCACTGCTCACCATCATCACAAGGCTACTCGAAAGGATTCGCCAATTTTGGCAGAACCTCAGCAGTCAATTAACAACGTGAAGGCCTGGGCGGTTCTGCAAACAAAAGCATCTTTTGCAGATGACTTTAGGGCGCGTCCCATTGTTAACGAAGAGAGGATTTGTTGCAGAAAATCCATGAACATCCAATGTGCTTCTGTACTGCTGCTGTTTCTTTGGGCGCGAAACCCAGACCATCGTGAAACAACCATGAAACTTTGTGACTTTCTGTATGAGGGCCTTATTTCTAGAAACAGTAAAAGCACCCTATTTCTTCATTCTTGTGACTGAGGTTTCAAGCATTATATAAGTTCCACGCAAATAAGTTGAATAAGCATAGTTCAGGCTTATATAATTGTTCTAAGGAATTCGGAATAAGGCATTATTTCTGGATATCGAAAGGAACATTGGCATTATTAATATATTATAGAGGAAAAGAACATTTATTTCTTCCATGATTCACCATTGTTTCGGGATTATTTGTGCAGAACAAATATATTCAGATCTGGCTATGGGCAAAAACGCGGTGCACTGGTGAGGGTTTAAAATTGCTGGGAAACGTGCTGCACCCATCCGCATCCCGTGTCCATCTTTGTTGGAAATAAAGAAAGAAGCTAGGCAATACTCCAAATAAAAACCAACGAACACATGATGACAATGATGAAATTCAAGTGCGGAAATGTTAACATTATCATCACATCAAAAATGTCAAAGTATCATTGTAAACACCTTGAAGCAAGAGAAATATCAACAGATTCTTCATCATGGATGCAATCTATTCAAGGCCGTGGAGCCGGCACAACAACACAAGGGGGAGACGCGACGCGCGGTTAAAAAACATGTGCATCAAAGTCAGAATTTCTGATGATTTTAAAGGAACACTTTTTTCCAGGTAATTATTTGCATTTGTAATTCTGGTGGTTGTGATGTTTTTTTTTTTAAAACATTTATTTTGCATTTGTCATTTTTTCTTTTGGCCGGCCCGAACTTCGAATTATATATATATAGTTCCAATGATATCATATCTATTCAGAATGTCCATTCATATCAAACAACCTGAATTGAATCCATTCGCACCTTAAGTGACCAATCATGTCCAATGATTCAGAATGTGCCACATCACAGATTTCGGGCCTTTCGGATCCTTTCGGAGCACACAGCATGTGATTCACGAGACCTTGTCGTGTAGCCTGAAACGCAGCCGTGAAACCATCTCTGAGCTGGGGAAGTTTCACAACGGCTTCGCCTCGCCTGAAATGGTGAATTTCATGGGGGAAAAGTGGGAGAACATCGATGAAAGAAAGGGTGAAAAGCTGGGGAAAAGGTGATGAAAAACATGGGAAACCTTAAACATCTGGAAAAAAACTGGAAAACGTGGGGGACAATTTTGGGGAAACAACACATGTGTGTCCCATGATTTTCCCTGTTTTGTGCCAATACCGTAAGTTGCTGTAGGGCACCGCGAGAGCACACCGGCATGGCACACTTCCAATACTGCAGATACCCAATTCATCTCAATTCCCAAAGATCATGACGCGGTGCACCTGGTAGGAGCAAGCCGATCCCAGTTGGTGTAGCACGGGCATGGATCACAAGGTCAGGAAACGAAGGGGAAACGAGAAGACGTGGGCAGATTTGTTTGACGAGTTCTAATGTGTTTTGCATGATTGTTGATGTGCATAAGAATCATCAGATGTGTTGCACCCTTGATTGAAAACGGCGAATCCGTTCTTTGTTGTTTCTGTTTTCTTTCGTTTTTGTTTCAAAGACCTTTGTTGAATAAAACTAAAGCTGGATTGACGGAACGAAATTATTTTTTCAAAGATACAACCCCGGAATCCAGTTTGGGTTGTGTAGTTTTGTGCAACACCTGACACACCCCTGCATTCTTGTAACATGTTTGATTTAATTCCAGTGCCATGATTTTTCCTACATGAATTTACATGTATACCGCATATACCGCACATGACATGAGCCTTCAACTCAATGGTTAAATCTGGAACTGAAATGGCGGTGGATTCATTCGGATTGACACAAAACTTTGACACCCTTGGGGAGATCCTATATCATGTGCTCAACTTTTTGGGAGGGTGCGCGTCGGACACTTCGATCGAACAAAAAATAGGACTGAAACTGGCACTCTTTGGTATTCAACTCAGATGACACACAACATTTTTCTAAATAGTTGTACACATTTTGCGCATGGCAGATGATATGAGCAATAATAATTTTGGATCTACCTTACACCACTCCCATGTTATAAGAGACTATAATAAAATAAAAAACAATGAGGTTTTGATCAATCAATTGGATTCAATTGGATTGTTTTTTTTTTACCCCAGCATTGCTTTTTTTACCAAACCCAGAGTCTGATTCGGATCAACATTTTGTTTCCAGGACCTCCAAAAGACTGTTTTGCGTTGTGTTTCGAGCCCTTGCGTGAGGAAGAACAACCTTTCCGTTTGAGGCGAGGCATTTTGTTTGAAATTTACTCACTTGCCGGAAATTCAAAATGATTTCGGCAATGATCCAACTAATGTGATGCTCTTCTTGTTGCCAAAACACTTGTGTTACTTATTTTTTTAAAAAGAAGCCACCGGATGTGTTGGAAAGAAATCTGTACAAATTCAGATTCACGTGGGTGTGTTTGAAAGTGGTGATTTACATGGATTTCCTACGAACACGGCCATAAATTGGTGATTAGTGGGGACAATGATGATAAGCCAACAGATTTTGAGGTACCAAAGCCACACAAACAGAATGGCTTCGGCACACTCAAGACGCTCATTGTGGTGGCCTCCGTGGTGTCGTGACATCGATTCCATTGTCCAAATATCGCAGGTTTGAATCGGACCCCTTGGATTCCTTGGATCCAATAGATTTTGAGAGCTGTGATGTGTTTTTTTTTGATGTTTTTTTTTGTTTGGGTTTTGTTTGCATCGAACCCGGACTGTTCACCCTGGTACCAGTAAAGTAAACTCTGGTACGTTTCAGCCATGTTGCAACCACTGGACTCCTGGACCGTGGTCAGAGCAGTCAATTTGCCATTCGTCTCGCATGTAATTCTGATTACTGTTCTTATGGATGTCAACTTAGCTATGCTCATTGAACCCAGCAACGAACCACTGGTTTGCAGATGTTCCCCCACGTACTCGTAGCAACATTTGCCCCCCCCATTTTGCCAGGCCTAGGCTTCCCATCGCATCAAGATTGCATGGTGGTGCTATATAAGGTAAGTTGGTCATGGTCTCTTTGTTGAGGGATATGACCTGGTAGTGAAGTTGGAGGGTTGTT